GGTCGGATGTTTCGCTCAATCTCCCGGCGTGGATTTTCAGTCCACATTATATTAACTTTTTATCAAGCACTTTGCGAGCGCAGGTAAAAAGCTCTAATACCACGAAATACTTTTAGGCGTTTTGCTTTTTTTCTGTAGAAATGTCAAACACGCCTCCTCGGTTAATTGTTGACGAACTTTCACAATTAAATACTGGCGATCTACTTGGGTTATATCAATATATTATATATATATGGAGAGCCCAAAACCTGCTCTGTATATAAATTATAAAATGACTCAGCTGTATAAAATACCATTTGCGGGACGTTTACGTTAATGTTATGCGAAAACCAAAAAGTACCAATTTTGAAATCGATTTTCTCCAAAAAAAAAAAAAAAACTTTTTTTTTTGTTAAAATGTAGATATGAGAGTTGTCTACTCGAAAAGCGACTCGAGAAAGTGTGTATTTTGTTTTTATGTTTTATATTTAAGCCTCAATATTGGAAAAAGACGTCTTTGTTTTGCAAGACCTAAGTCAGATATAGCGACCCGCGCATTTCTATACATTGTGAAAACGTTTTCTTGAATGTTTGTATGCGTTTTGTAATCAATTATAAACTCATTTCGTGGTATTGAATAGTTATTTAGTTGAATAGTTAGTTATGTTGAATAGTTAGAAGTTGAATAGTTAGTTATGTTTTGATAAGAGTGGAAAACCACAAGAAACATATCTAATCAAATCAGCAGGCCTAGTAGACCTTCAATATCGAAGAGGCACAGACGTTGTATTATTTCCATTTATGAAACTTTCATTGTAATATGACAAGCTATTGGCTGTTGTATTACTAAGACATAGAAAGTCACCACATTATTGATATATTATATACAATTCTTTCCGAAACCAGACGCTTGGGTTTGTTCACTGCACATCGCACAGATCACCAGGGAATGGCCTTTCACTTCCGTAATACGCAAAAGTGATGACACAGAAACGGTCCGAAACACACGGAAAGATTGTCACGGAGAGGGGTAGGGAATAAAAATAAATAAATTAGAATAAAATTACCCAACTCCGATCTTACCGAAAAATCGGCGACACGTAAAGGTAAAAAATAAAAAAATTAATCAAGACGAAGAAACTTGGCCGCACACGGCAAGAACAAAAATCAACTCCCCCGGGCATTCCCTAAACGGGACACAACCAAATGCGTGCGAACACGCTCTCTGCAGCACCGTCAAGCCGCTACGCCATGACGAAATAAACCCAACTAAACAATGCTAACAAACAATTATTAAAAAAAAAAACTTAAAAAAAAAAAAAAACGTTCAGCAGAATCGCACTCGAGAAACAAAGTTCAGTGGGGCGAAGAAACACACACGAATTAAAAAAAAAAAAAAAAAAGTCTTAACTGACCGACGCCGAGTCTAGTCCCAGGTCACTGAAACCTGGCAGGATGACGGCGTCCAGATGATGCTCGAATCTGTTCTTCACTCTGTTCCACAGTCACGACGGCTGTGCGGAACAGATTGAAGAATTGACTCGAGCAGCGATGCGCGAGAAGGTAACCGAGACGTAACATGCCTCGAGCTTCATATCGGGTGAGGAGCTTTCGAGGTAGTTATTGTAGTTGCTCAAAATTTTTCTTTTCCCTCCCCTTTTTCAAAAGAACACGTCAGCCGGCGTTAACTTTTCATCTGGGGAGAAGGCCACTCTTCACAAACGCTTGTAGTTGACAAGGAGGCTGACTTTGACCCAACTAGTCTCCGGGCACAATAAACACAAGCATATTTACCAACACGCTCGTTTTTAATGTCAGTCTCCGGGCTTTGCTGTTTCCAAAAGAGATAACCCTTCGGTGCTATCGGATCTCCGCGGAGAGAAATAGAGCACGGCCGTTTCAAGGATAGGGCGCTCGAAGAAGCTTGGGCGAATACGCGGTATCGTTTCACGCGTGCACGGACGGCTGGTTTCAAATTTTCCCCACATCCCTAACGAAACCGGCCCACCTCCGTGTATGCGTCTGCGGGAATTTTGTTCCGCGCCGTCGGTTTTAGCGCGCACGCGGCGTTGTTTTGGCTGGCAGAACAGTTGTTGACCGTGGATATTGTAAGGCCGTGGTGTCCTCATCCTTCCAGACAACAGTTATTTTGTTTTCCCTTCTGCAATACTCTAACTGACCGACTCCTGCTGGGTGGCCGTCACTGTTCGCCGCGTCAATGACACATTCGTACCATTTGACTCCTCGTGACACAGGGTGCGCTGCTCGCTTTACTGTCACGGGCCGTCCTATCTAACATAACGAGCGCGAAAGGTCGTGGTCTTCTGCCGGTTCCGAAAGGGCGGAAGGTTCATATAGGCCCATGAGGGCCCCGAATCAATACGACTTCTGCCGATTTCTACACATTAAAAATTAAAGACACCTGCTGGTCTGTTAAAAAGTGTTCTTTTGAACTCCTCCAACGTAGCTTGCCGCCTATAATACATTTTAAATGCTCAATAAATATAACAGGGTGGAACTACTGTATTTCTTTTTTATGGGTTAACGTTGAAAAAAGGTAAAAATATTTCCAAGTTTGTGAAGACGCGCAATTCGCAAGTCAGTTTCGCGCCGTAAAAACACGTTTTTGTACGATATTGATGCTTAAATATAGAACATACAAACAAAATACACACTGTCTCGACTTGCCTTTCGAGTAGACAGCTATCATATCTACATTTTACCAAAAAATCAAAAATGAGCTTTTTGAGAAAATAGATTTCAAAATTTGTACTTTTTGGTTTTCGCATAACATTAACGTAAAACGTACCGGAAAGAGAATTTTATACAGCTGAGTGATTTTAGTATATATATAAAGAGCGTGGTTTGGGCTCTCCATAGGCATAAAAAGTATCAACGCAACCCAAGTAGATCGGAAGTTTTTAATTGTCAAAGTTCATCAACAATTAACCGAGGGGGCGTTTTTGACATTTTACAGAAAAAAGGCAAAGCGCATAAAATTATTTTATGGCATTAGAGCCTTCTAACTGTACTTACAGTGCTTGAAAAAAAAGATTAATATAATATGGACTCAAAATCCACGGCGGGAGATCGAGCGAAACATCCGACCCACGACGGATGTGAAAAACACTGCTTTCCGCTCCGGCCTCTTTTAAAATTCGTAAGTCAAAACAAAAAAAAAAAAAAATTCGAACAAACTTGCGGTTTGTGGCTACTACGTTTTTAGAGACGACGCCATAACACATATATATTTTTTCCTAAATTAAAAACTCGACCCTTTTTGCCTCCACGATTTACGATGAAATGATCCGTATATATAGAGATCGCGGCTAATTTTTGTTCGACTTAAACGTTTCTTAATGTTTCCGTACCCCGGGTCCCAGGTGTTATATCAGGATTAATTATCATCATCTCGCCTGCATACCCATTGTTATTTTGTAACTCGGCGCTTTACTTTTTTTTTTCTTTTTTTTGCGTGATTGGATTAAACCAATCACGCACAAAAAAAAAGTTGGTAATGGCGTACCCACAAAGACAAAGGCGCCGTGACGATGCATGTTTTAGCGCTCCTGATTGGCTCCATCAGATCGTGGCCTCGGCTGCGGTCAAACTTAAAACAAAGTATAAACAAAAAAAGCTTGCCCGTCTTTGCTATAATACTACAAATGAACCGTCATACAAATAAAAGACACCGACGCAACACCTTTCTTTTTGCAATCTTAGTTGTGCTGCGCTTTTTATGTGAATCTCTGCTCGCTCATAACTGTTTTTTTCTTTTCTTTCAGCACATTTAATCAATGTTGATGTGTCGTGTCCTAAAATGCTACACCGTTCGGAGTTTTCGCCCGTATAAAAAGTATCGGTCCTTGCGAATCTTGTACGTGGAGCATACTCCAACGTTTCCAGTGAAACGTTCGGAAAAGTACTACCCTGTCCAGGGTCACGCGTAAACGGGAACCTTAATTAAAGTCACAGACCTACATTTTGGATTCTTCATTTTTTTTTATTTCCGCGTTTTATTGACGTCTTTCGGCGTTAATTCAGAAATTGGAAAACGAAAGCGGAATCGTAATCTCCGTTGGTTGTCGGTGACGCAAAACTTCTACCGGATTTTTTCCCCTCTCTACTTATTGCCGAAGATTCCCAAGTACGTAATAGACACACACAAAAAAAACACTTTATTCTATTGATTAGGTAGTGGGCCTAAAGCATGTGGTTGTCTTCTTGCGTAAAATTCATGACGTCATTTTTAGTCGCAGGCGTTTTGAACCTTTCCACACTGCCAATTGCCTTCGGCATCAGGGGCAGTCCAATGCTTCTGCAGATTCATCTCTAGGTTATTTTCGTTGTCTTTCGTTGGGCATCGATTATATGGCAGGGAGGGAGCGAGCGCCAAGTTCGAGAGACATTTCAAAATATCTCCTTATACTTTTTTTTTTTCTACGCTTTTGTGATTCGATGCCAAGTCGTGGTCGTTTCTTATCTCATCAGATATCGGTGGGTCGACCGTTGACGTCAAAAATGCGTTTTCAAGATGCCTTCGAGCAATCCTACCACGTGACCTCAGTCGCGTCTTCTCGCCTCTTACGTCCGAACAAAAGGTCTATGACGTTTTTTCGGGTTGCGAGGAGGCTAGCGCGAGTGGAAACTGAAATTTTCTCGGCTTTTCCTAGCTTTCTGAGGGGTCTCGTCCACCCTTTCCGCAAAGAGACCGAGGGGGAAAGGACCTTCGGGAATGCCGCGTCGCGGGGTGAAGCCTAGCGGTCGCCGAGGGGGGAAACGGCGACGCGCCGCAGTTCCTGGTGTGGCTGCCGGCAAAGAGAGAAGTAGGCCTCCCCTCCGCCGCTTTCCTCCTCGCCCTCCTTTTCTTTTACGTGAGGGGGTCACGTGGTAGCCGGCTCGGTGTATAAACCGGACGAGGGATGGCTGATGGAGCGGCAGTGGAGCAGACGCTTCTAGCGAGACAGCATCGCGCAGTGCTTTTCTCTGACTCGTGACCCCTTCGGATCTACAGCGCCGACATGGCAGCCGTGTTGGACAAGGTCGTGTCTTCCTACCAGTCCGTGATTGCAGCCACGGACCCCCGTGTCAAGACGTGGCCGCTCATGGGCAGCCCGATGACCATGCTGTCCATCATCGCCGGCTACGTCTACTTCGTCAAGGTGTGGGGCCCCAACTGGATGAAGGGCCGGGAGCCGTTCCAGCTCAAGAGGGTCCTGGTCGCCTACAACCTCATCATGGTGGTGCTCAGCACGTTCTTCTTTCTGGCCGGCGGGCAGCACACGTACCTCGGCGAATACAATTGGTTCTGCCAGCCGGTGAACTACGGCACGGATGATAACAGCATGGCCGTCACCAGGCTAGGCTGGTGGTACCTTCTCCTCAAGATGGTTGAGTTCCTGGACACCGTGTTCTTCGTGCTCACCAAGAAGTTCTCGCACATCTCGTTGCTGCACGTCGTGCACCACTCTACCGTCGCCTGGACCGTGTGGATGGGAGTGAACTTCGGCGCCGGCGGCCAGAATGCTTTCTTCCCCTTCATCAACTGCTTCGTTCACATGGTGATGTACACGTATTACTGTCTTGCCGCCATGGGCCCCGAAGTCCGCAAGTACCTGTGGTGGAAGCGTTACCTCACCCAGTTCCAGATGGTGCAGTTTGTCGTGGGCTTCCTCCACGCCGCCGTGCCCGTCTTCTACGACTGCGGATTTCCACCGTACTTCGCCTACATCCTGATGGGCGAGGCTGTCCTGCTCTTCTTTATGTTCAAGAACTTCTACGACCGGGCGTACAAGGCGGCCGCAGCCGCTAAGGCTGCCGCCGGCAAGTCGGCGTCGTCTCAGAACGGACTGAGCAGGATTCCGGACTTTGGGTGCAGTGTCCAGGCGACGTACCACCTGAGGAACGGACACCGCCAGCAGGAGGCGCCGGCCGCCCCCGGTCCCAAGTCTGACTGAAGCGCCCTCCAAGTCGCTCGTCTTCTCATGGACTATGGCGGACCACGACTGGATCAGCTTCGCACCTCGCTAAACTTGGGATGCACCTCCCGGTGTGGTTAAGCTGCTGCTGCTGCTGCAGAGCTCGAGCCACTGAGACTTGAGGCAAGCCGGAAGAGGAACTGCTGTGAAAATTGCCTAGTCAGCGTACAGACAGCGTGAGGCCGCGTCTTCTTTTAGGAACCGTTTTATCTGTTTACCGGCCGATTGGCCATCCTTTTCTTTTCTTGCGTAACTTTTAGCCGAAAGGTTGACCTTTCCAGTCAGTGCACCTCTTATGTATTCTACCTAGTTCAGCGACAAGCCATTCTTTCGTTTGTTTTTCTGTGTGAAAACCGCTGGGAGGTGACCTTTTTTTTTTTTTTTTTTTTAGATATGGTACGAAGTGTACCCTCGTGCTCTATTTATATTTCTTTCGAAGCGATAGTGGACTGACTACCGTATAACGGGAGTGAAACTTTTTTTGGCGCACGCAATTGCTTCTCCAGTGTCTCCACCTACTGCTTTCCTGCACGAGAGACACCGACACGAAAAACGTGGCGAGAGGCAGTGCCAACTATTTGTTTTTTTTACGGCTCTTTCCGCCGTGACATTGACGCGCCTTCGACCAGCCTTCGAAGCGCTGTCAATGGGTTACTTCGCACGTTTTTTTTTTTGTTTTTTTCTTCTTTTCTTACTCTTGCGATCACCCTATTCCCGGAAGTTTATTTTCTTGCATGTGTGTGTGTGTGTATCCGACATCCTCTTTCTTGAGGCGCACACCTGAACTTGCTCCGTCGAGTTTGCTTACCGCCACTCCTCTTGTAAATAGTGTCATCTTCGTCCCATTTCCTCGTTTTTTTTTCTTCTCGCGTCATGTACAGTGTTCCGTGAACACTGTTTGTTTTGGAATAAACTACGCCACCATCTGTTGTTACGAGAAACCGTGTTCTTGCGTCCATTCTTTGTTTTGTTTCCTCAACTCTCCCGTTAGCGCGTGAAAAACAAAAAAAAACATTAGGCTGGGTCGGGTTATAGGACCGTTATTTGCGTGCGGCTATGAGCTACTACACCGCAGAAAGGAAACTGCCCTTGTACCGCTGAGCCACGCACGCAGTGCACCGTTTATGCTTGCGCAGATCATATTGTTTGACTCGCAAGGAAATCGGCTTGCGGATTGGCTCGCTTGTATTCGGTGGTGAGCCCACTTTCTCATTCAAAGTGTTCTGGCTCCCTCTGACGCTGTGATCTTCACAGCAGGGAACATTGACCTTTGCAGTTATCTTAGCGTTTCAATTCCTTTAAAGGTTAGTAAGTTACGTTGCTGGACTTGTTGGTTCATCTTATAAACAAAACAATAGGTGCATGAAGGTACGTTGCTGGACTTGTTGGTTCATCTTATAAACAAAATAATAGGTGCATGAGGTCAACACTGAACAAGCAATTGAGGCAAACGACATTCAAAGGTTGTTTGCCCCGTTTTAATTTGCATGCTTGATACTGGGTGCGTTCGGCGTGCATAAGCTCTTCCGTGATGCCATGTTGAAGACAACGTTAGCAGTCATGCTGTATTAACTAAAGTTTTTACGTACAGCGTAAACTGATATCGCCGTACCTCGAAGCAGGCCGTTCATACGCCGTCTAAACAATCAACGTATACTTTGATATTGTTTTTTTTGTTATTTTTTCTCGGGAGGCCCTTCGTGTTCAAATTTAGGGAAAAAGAAATATTTTTGCACTTTGTTATTGACATGGGGTTTAGCGCTTTCTAAGGTATGCGGCGCAATCGTGTAGATATGTCTAGCGGTCATTCAGAGGCGCTCGCGTCAACTTGCGAAACATCGCCGCTATTCTTGTTTCAAGGTTTGGAAGTTCATAACGCTTGCTTGTAAACAATAGGACTGTTTATACGAATCTTCCTTCTTTACCTAAGGTAAAATTTTTGTTTTATCTTTATATTTCTTTTGGACATCTGGCTATGCTTTCCCTGATTCGATTTACACAATCGAATCGCGGGCCGCGTCGAGGAGCTTGGTGGCAGCCAAACAACGCTATATGTACCGTAAATTCGATGACCCACTAACAGCACTGACCAGCTTGTTTTGCTTAGTTTGTTTAGACTTGAATGTTTTAGCTATAGACGATTTCATGGAACTTGAAACATGCCTAGTCACCGCCCGTTCATTGTTTCTTTTTGGATCACACGTCTGCGCTTACAACTATAGGGGTGTGGGAAAAATCGCTTCAAATCGAATAGCGCTGCGTCATCCCCTGCTTCAAGACTGTAGAGAAAGCAGGCATACATTGGCCTTCCTTTGCCCTATAGGAAGGCTATATGCCAGACGCAGCGCTACTCTATTGTAACGATCATTTGCCATTAAGTGACCCTGAAATTAATTTTTGGCTGGGCTACGTTCTGCGTTTGGCGAGGAGTCAGATCAGACCACGCGCTTCGTGACCAATGGATGGATGGCAGGTAAACGGGCGGCAGCTTGCGCCACCTAGCCTAACAAGCAATGGCGACTGCCAATGTTTCTCGATGGACTTTTGAAAATGATATATTCGAGTGTTGAAGCTATGAGACACTGATGCTATTCGATTCCAAGTGTTGTTATCTCCTCTCTACCCCTGCCCCCAGTCCAGAGTAATGTTAACTATTTATCGAATGTGACCTTCAAGGATCGCGGTGCCATACGGAAGCAAAGAAAAAGAGTATTATTTGGAAGTGATTGGAATGACGATCGGTAAAGTAAAAATGCAAGTAAAATATTCCCCTATTGGTTCCAGATGAGGTGAACACATTTAAGTTTGAAGGATTAAAGTGATAATATTAGAAAAAAACTAACAGCTTCTCTAACAACGCACCGGCGAAAACAAGTTCTGGCAAGTCGAATTTAGCACTTGTTGACTTCATTATCCATTTACATCAATCTAAAACATCCTCGTAAAAAATCCTTATAAAAAAAAGAATGGTTGTTTTAGTGATTGTGAGCGAAAGTTCTACGGCTGTCTCTTATAAAATAATAGAATAACGAATGTCAAATATTAAGAAAATATACTTTCATAAATGTATAGACTAATGCCGATATCACATATTTGCACGCTACGTTTTGCGAGATATTGACAAGCAAAAAGGTGCGAAACACCGAACATTTAACAGTTCTGACGTTAATGACTCACAAAATACCACGTCAATTAAAAATGCCGACCAGCAGCAAAAAGTTGTTTGATCTTATTAGAGGTTTCCCCTTCTCAGGCAAGGCCTCTTACTGCTTGAGCATTTTACGAGACATTCTCGCATTAATTAACAAGTTTTACCTCAATCTGATAGATATATGATCAAGCATTAGATGCCGAGACAAGTAAGAAGCGGATTCGAAGTCCAAGTGACAGGCAATATGGACGAGTGTTACAAACGGCATCGTCGTACGATCACTATTGTCACTCCTCTGCCACAGCCTTCCATCATTTGGCACAAAATAATTACACATCAAACGACACATCCATAAAAGCAGCATTCATTCTACCCAAGTTCGATCTTCTCCGCTTCTATTTCTGATTTGAAACGCCGCTATAAATGATCCGAACTCGATGTGACCTGTCAAGTAGAGCGAGCTCGACAAACTTTCTCGATACCGAGTGTGTTCTTCGAGGAATGCCATTCAAAGTTGTCACGCCTGACTTTTGTGCGTCTGATATTAAGGTCGCATTGTCATTCGCAGAAAACGACTCTTACGTCATTCGCGTGCTTGCTAAAGATGTTCCCATACTGCGTTTCGCACATGTCGTACAACGCTGTCGAAACGACTGGCACAAAAGGGTTACCTTATCGCCTCATCTGCGGGAGAGCGTGATCAAGAGAGACAACAACTTTGGGCGCCCGTAAACAGCTTTGATTGGCGCTCAATACACGCGAAAGCAAGTGCGGCCATAGCTTTGATTGCATAGCCACTAAGAAAGTTGTCTTCGAGTATAGTTCAAAAAGTACGCGCGCTCGACAGCGGCTCTGACAAAGTTGTACGTTGCGTATCAAACCGAAGCATTCATACTGCTCGAGATCTAGACAGTCAGCTACAGTATATCAATTCAACGGTGATAGTGTCTCGCTGTCAAACTTGACGTGAAATCGGCAGAGTTTCGCCGTGTGAGCCCGTCACCTTAGTGGCAACGGCTCGGCTGCACCTACGTAGACTTCTGACAAACAGACGACACGCTCGTCGTGCCTCATTTTTCACCCGTGTAACGTATACCAGTTACGCAACTTTCCGCTTGTCGGTGGAATTTCGCGTTATGCTGCCGCACTTGTTCAGCATGTTGTTGTTGTTTTTTTGTTTTTTTTTTCAAAAGCAACGAAATTACTATCTGAACCAATGACTCGCTCGCGGGTATGTTCAGGACCGTTTTGTAACTAACAAAGAGGTTACTTGACATTCATTTGTTGCATTTCTTTTTACTTCTTGGAGTAATCATGGTTCTAGTATTATTTATCTGGATAGATCGTTATTGACAATTGTACCGGCGTGCGTCATGCGATTGTAAACGCGCATAAATACAGCGTCCGTTTTGATCCGACGGTATAGTACCGAAGACTTACGAAGTTCGCGCCGTGTCACGATAATCTTAAGCAACCCATTTAGTCGTTGTCGCACGGCTAATACGTATCGTACGAAAGACGGTCCGCAGACAAGAGAGAGTTTTAGGGAGCCTTTTTTGCACACCCGATACGGTACCATGATTACGAATTACCCATATGCGGTAGCGCATATGGGCAGTTCGTAATCAGGGTACCGTACCGTACCCCGGTACGAATTGCCCATGCGCGGTAACGCAAAAGGCTCGCGCATGCGCAGTTCGTATCGGATGCCCAAAAACGGTTCCCTAAAAGTCTCCAGTGTTTGAGGCGTGGTTTCTTCCCATTGTACGACAATCTTGCCACATTGGTTATACAAAAAAAAAAAAAAATGCTTGTAGACATGCGTTTGAAAAGCATACGTATATGTATGAACCAAACATGCTTAGAACAGGGTTGAGGCCTATAGCCGCAAATAATTCTGTCGTCGTGCACGTCTGCAACAAACGCTGCGTTGTTTTTTGTTTGTGTTTGTTTTGTTTTATGTGTAGAGTTGCGGGTCTGCGGCTTGCAGTGTTCGTACGCGTGTTCCGCATGCCACGTGCCGGGTGGCCTATTGACTTGTTTGGCACGCTTCACACGAACAACGGATGAAGCTTCTAGCTATTCTCGTATTCATCGCAAAAATCCATAATAATAAAAGAAATATATAAAAAAGTGGTTTTTTTGCGGAACGCAATTAAGTTTCTCCTTCGTGTCTCGAATTAAGATGTATGTTGGTGCACCCTAACTAGGCAGCTTTCTGTTATCTTACCGAGGCCTAGACGTTTCAGACGCTCAAAAGTATCGTTTCCTTCTTCAACAGCCAAATGCACTAAAAACAACGTGTGAACAATGCATAAAACGGCTTTTTCTTGTTCTGACAACGAATATTTGCCCCCCCTATTCTTTTTTTTTTTTTTGCCATAATTTTAGTGGCGCTGTTTATTGGGTAGCCCCGCACACTTCTTGTCCACTTATATTTTCAAATTTTTTACTCGTTATTTTTATCGTGGGCGTGAATTAAGTCTGACAGTGCTGTCTGCTGCCATTTGGAGAAGGTAGCGTGTGTATTTAATTTGGCAAGTACTGCGGAACCCGCCGCGCCTAGCTCAGAACCAAGAGTGGTTGGGGGCTATTTGCACGCCGGCGCCACCACGTTTTACGCGAGAAGCTGTGCATGGGCACTGCTAGAGCCACGAAACGAGCTGCGCTTAAAGTATCGGCACTCCGTTCCCCGACATCGTTGTGGGCGCCGCCATATTGGTGCTTGTGCAGAGCAGACGCAAGTGCCGATCGTCATGATTCAAAAGTGAGACTTCC